CCCTTTGTGTCCTGTTTCGAGTTGGTCTCCGGATCGTCAGCCCCTCCTCTCAGCGTGGTGCTCTGTTAGTTCTCCTGCTCCTGTCGTGCCGGGCCTGGGTTCCAGTCTCTGCGTTGCTGTTGCTGGAGTCTTGGGGGACCCTGGTCTGGTCTGCGCGGCTGTTGCGGTCCGGGCGGTGGTTGGAAAAAGGAGCTCGCCAGCCAGTCTGGTACTTGGATTGGTGGGATGCCCATGGCTCGAAGGAAACCTGGGAGGTCGCTTGGTTTCTTCACCGTATGTTGAACCTGGCCGTGTCTAGCTGAGAGTGAGAATGGGTAACCCCAGTGGTATGGTATTCCTGCCTGTTGCAGGGCGGATGTTACCGGGCGTAGCGCTCTTCTGGCTTGTAGGGTGTATCTAGATAGGTCTTAATAAAGCGATATGGTTTGATTCTCGAAGCGTATGGTTCCCATGCGTCGGGCCGTGCGCAGGATGTCTTCTTTCAATTGGTAATTTTCTAGGCAGCATATGATATCTCTTGGTTGTTCTTCTGGTGGCGGCATTGGTCGCAGTGCCCTGTGTGCCCTTACTATGCCAATCTGGGTATTTGCTGGCCCCCCAGTATCTGAGCGAACAGCCTCTTTAGGGTGTCGGGTATGTGTTCCGCTGGGTCACCCTCCCTCACCCCGCGGACGCGCAGGTTCAGTCTGCGGCCGCGGTTGTCCAGATCGTCTACCCACGTGGTGAGACTGGCTAGGTCTGCTTCCTGGATGGTGACTGTGGAGTTGGTGTGTTCCAGGTCTGTGCGGAGCGCTCTGGTCTCTGACTCCACTACTGACATGCGGGCCTCCACATTAGCCAGGTCTGCGCGTAGCTGGGCCACCTCCTCCCTCACCACTCTGCCTAGGCGGTCTGACAGGGCCTCAAAGTCAGCTTTAGTTAGGAGATTTGGCAGTATGGCCCTCCACTCACCCTCCTGCGTTAATTGTGGCTCAGAGCTGAATGAGGGTGTGGGTGACAGTCTGGCCGGTGTGGAGGGGAAGGACTCCATGCCCTGGCTCACCTCCTCCATCTCCCGTTGTGGTGGCCGTGGCTTGAAGGTAGGAGCGGATGGATTGCTCCCCCTCCCTGCCTGACAACCTCGGGGTGCTGCTGGGGTCTGCGGGCTTCCGTGTGCGACCCATAGTTTGTGCGTGGTCGAGCGGTATGCGCTGTTCTGGCTCTTTTGTTGCGGGCGCCACGAGGAGCTTCTGCTTTAGGCGTCCATTTTCCTCGGCCGCCGGACACGCCCCTCCCAGTCCTTTTTTGTGGGGGATTATACTATATAGAGAGCTTACGTCACATGTAACTAGGAAGTTCCCTTCCTGCCATTCAGTCTGTTCTAATATTTGAAGCATATGGATAGTGTCTTTAAGATAATATGGGTTTTTCACCACTAAAGGTTGCAGCATAATATCTATATATTCTGATATCCGTGTGGATACAGAGTCGATGCCTGATATTATGGGCCTACCTGGTGGGTTGTGTTGGTCTTTATGTACCTTAGGTAGGTGATAGAACACCGGTACTTTGGGGTAGTCAATGGATAAGTAATTAGCTTCTTTTTCGTTAATGATTTCTAATTCCTTTCTTTTTAAGATGTATTCTTCAAATTTTTTCTGTATTTCTCCCATAGGGTTCGATGGTAACTGTTGGTACGTCAGTGGATCTAAAAGAATTTTATCCGCTTCTTTTATGTAATGATCTTTATCAGGGCCGGACTGGGAAAAAAATTCGGCCCGGGCATTTTTTTATCACAGCGGCCCACTAAGAAGGGGGCGGGGCAGAGAGGGTGTGTTTTGTCATCACTCATGACAAACACGCCCCCTCTCAAAGTGAGCATGTTGGTTCAATGCTCTTCCAGGGCAGACCATGCACAGAGTTCTGCTGAAGAGCTCTAGCATGAGAAAAAAGCCCTGTATTTGTTCTGCGCAGTGCAAGCAAATTTAATAACATGCTTGCACTGTGTTTCCTTGCAACTTGTCTCTGGTGTCTCTATAAATGGATACCAGGAGACAAATGGGTCAGGAAAGAGTATTGTGCATGTGTTTTGGAGCCTGCTTGGGGTATTGCGTGTGTGCAGAGTGAGCTGGTCGTGGTGTGGTATTGTGTAATAAGGTCGGTTTTAGTCGTGTTGTGTTTGTGGTGTAATGTAATGCATATGTGGCTAGGGGCTTTAGAGAATGTGTGTTTAGGGGATGTAGCAAGTGTGTGTATACAGGCTATAGTGTGTGTGTGTAGGTGATGTAGTGTTTGTAGAGAGTGTGTGTTCAGGGAATGTAGTATGTGTTTGCTTATAAGGAATCTAGTGTGCGTATAGGGGATCCAGAGTGTGTGTGTGTTTGAAGGACCCAGAATATGTATAGGAGATCTAGTGAGCGTGCGTATATAATGGATTCAGAGTGTATATAGGGATCTAGTGTGTGTATGTGTGTAGATGATCCAGAGTTGGGTAGAGGATCTAATGTGTGTCTGGAATGAAATGTGTTTAGGGGTGCTGTGTGTGTGAGGGGTGCTGTGTGTGTGTGTGAGGGGTGCTGTGTGTATATTTATATGTGTATATATATTATATAAATATGTTTGGAAGTATTGTGTATGTGTGTTAGGCAGTGTATCGGGGGGTTGTGTGTGTATGTGAGGAGTGCAGTATGTGTGTGTGATGGATCCTGTGTGTGAGGTGTGGGTGCTGTGTGTGGGTGCTGTATGTGATTGATTTGTGTGAGGGTGCTGTGTGTGTGGGTGCTGTGTATGATGTGTGTGAGAGTGCAGAGTGTGATGTGTGTGAGAATGCTGTGTGTGAGAGTGCTGTGTATGATGTGTGTGAGAGTGCTGAGTGTGAGAGTGCTGTGTATGATGCATGTGAGAGTGCTGAGTGTGAGAGTGCTGTGTATGATGTGTGTATGAGAGTGCGGTGTATGATGTGTGTGAGAGTGCTGTGTGTGAGAGTGCTGTGTATGATGTGTGTGAGAGTGCTGAGTGTGAGAGTGCTGTGTATGATAGTGCAGAGTATGAGAGTGCTGTGTATGATGTGTGTGAGAGTGCAGAGTGTGATGAGTGTGAGAGTGCTGTGTATGAGAGTGCTGTGTATGATGTGTGTGAGAGTGCTGTGTATGATGTGTGTGAGAGTGCAGAGTGTGATGAGTGTGAGAGTGCTGTGTATGAGAGTGCTGTGTATGATGTGTGTGAGAGTGCAGAGTGTGAGAGTGCTGTGTATGAGAGTGCTGTGTATGATGTGTGTGAGAGTGCAGAGTGTGATGAGTGTAAGAGTGCTGTGTATGATGTGTGTAAGAGTGCAGAGTGTGATGAGTGTGAGAGTGCTGTGTGTGAGAGTGCAGAGTGTGATGAGTGTGAGAGTGCTGTGTGTGAGAGTGCAGAGTGTGATGAGTGTGAGAGTGCTGTGTGTGAGAGTGCAGAGTGTGATGAGTGTGAGAGTGCTGTGTGTGAGTGCAGAGTGTGATGAGTGTGAGAGTGCTGTGTATGAGAGTGCTGTGTATGATGTGTGTGAGAGTGCAGAGTGTGATGAGTGTGAGAGTGCTGTGTATGATGTGTGTGAGAGTGCAGAGTGTGAGAGTGCTGTGTATGATGTGTGTGAGAGTGCAGAGTGTGAGAGTGCTGTGTATGAGAGTGCTGTGTATGATGTGTGTGAGAGTGCAGATGTGTGTGAGAGTGTGAGTGTGAGAGTGCAGAGTGTGATGAGTGTGAGAGTGCTGTGTGTGAGAGTGCAGAGTGTGAGTGTGAGAGTGCTGTGTATGAGAGTGCTGTGTATGATGTGCGTGAGAGTGCAGAGTGTGATGTGTGTGAGAGTGCTGTGATGAGTGTGAGAGTGCTGTGTATGATGTGTGTGAGAGTGCAGAGTGTGATGAGTGCAGAGTGTGAGAGTGCAGAGTGTGATGAGTGTGAGAGTGCTGTGTATGATGTGTGTAAGAGTGCAGAGTGTGATGTGTGTAAGAGTGCAGAGTGTGATGAGTGTGAGAGTGCTGTGTATGATGTGTGTGAGAGTGCTGTGTGTAAATGTGTGTTGGGGGGGTAAATAAAAAACTAAGGGGGGTAAATAAAGAAATTTAAAAAAAAAAACCTAAGTAGGCATTAAATCCCCCCTCCCTCTTACCTTTAGCCTGGGAGGGGGGACCGGCATGGTGGTAGCTGGGAGGAGGGGGGACCGGCACACTCACATCATCCCTGGTGGTCCAGTGGTGAGTGAACTCTAGCCTGCGGGCTAGAGTTCACTCTCGCGAGATCCGGTCGTTGCCATGGCAACGCGCCGGATCTCGCGAGAGGAACCCGGCGGAGCTGCAAGACAGAGCTCCGCCGGGTCCTCTCCCTCCCTCCCCAGCCGCAGGTCTGTTTAAATGGGCCGGTGAGGGAGCTCTTTGATCTCCCCACCGGCCCTCCATGGAAGACAGCGGGGCCGGCGCTCGGATAGTGCCGGCCCTGCATAGACCGGCAGGGGAGATCCTGGGACCTCCCCTGCCGGCCTCGGCCCCACGGACACCGCGGCCCACCGGGCATTTGCCCGGTGTGCCCGCTGGCCAGTCCGGGCCTGATCTTTATTAAAAATGACGATTCCTCCCCCCTTATCGGCTGGTTTTATGACAATCTCTTTGTTTTTTCCCATCTCCTTTATTGTTTTTTGGTCTCTCTGAGATAGGTTTTGCTGATAACTGGTAGTTTTCTTAATTTTGTTGACTTCCTTCATAACTATAATCTCAAAAGCCTTCATTTGATCAGAGATCATATGTCTAGGAAAAAAGTGGACTTATTTTTGAGGTCAGAGTGTATGTAGGTATTATCTTGTGTGGGAATCAGCACGTCCTTTTTGCCATAAAAAAATTTTTTTAGGGATAATTTTCTAATAAAATGATTAAGATCAATAAAAAAATCGAATGAATTAAAATCTGATATCGGTGCAAATTTGAGACCTTTTTTGAAAATTTGCTCCTGTTCAACTGTAAGGTCTTTCCGTGTTAAGTTAAAAATTCCCTTTACATCCGTTTCCTGTTTCGCTTCTCCCTGTAATGGAGTTCTTCTTCTTCTTCTTCTTCTTCTATGATTCTCTGTCTTTTCCCAGGTGATTCTTGGGGGAGAGTCTTCTGGGGCCACTGTAGTCTGTTGTTGATTGGGTCCTTTCGAAAAAACGAAGAGGAAGAGGATGCTATCTCTGCTGGGGTTGAATCAGGTCTCGGTTGTGCATATTTTCCGACAGTGAGTGTGGTTCCTGAATCTTTGTTTCTCCTATTTTCAGTTGTCTTTTCTCCATTTATAGTGGGTTTCCTTGATATTCCATTTTTGACTACTGAGCTGTAACTTCTTTTGTCATCATTATATGTATATTTTCTTAACCCTTGGGTGTTTGGTTCCCGATAGATGTTACGACGTTGTCCTTGGGTGTTAGGTTCCCAATGGGTATTCTTATATTTTGGTAAAGATCTCTCTCTATAATCTCCCATTTTTTTATGTTGGGGTGTATGTTTGTCATATCCAGAGTATCGTCTCACTCTATCATTCCTATTTCTATGAGGACTTCTTTCTCTTGTTTTTCCATTCTTGTTCTGTTTTCTCACATTTCCTGTTTTATAGTCATTGACATCTCTAAGGTATTTCCTTTTTTTAGTTTCTATGACCATATTTTCAATTTTGTCTACTTTGGTTCTGATATCTTTAACTATATTGTTAAAAATTTCAGGGCTAGTGTTCTCAATGAGATTTTCTTTCCACTTTATAATATCCTCATTGAGTTTGGGAAGGCTTTCTTCCCTCCTAGCTACAATGCCCATGAGGTTGAAAGAAAAACCGTCCAGCATTTGATTCCAACCTGTCATGAAATGTGGATCATCTCTATCCGAGGTTGGTTCCTTTGTGAGTCTAAGCCTTCTCGGGGTGATTCTTTCATTGACGTATTTATTTAACGTTGCTATCTCCCTTCATCAGTGATTAAGGATTTACAGAGAATATGATAAACAATTAGAAACAATGTCACCAGTAACAAAGAACCCTGCCCATGGCAGGTGAGGAAATAATGTGTTTACAAGATGATTAGCCAATGCATATCTATCTGGAGTGTCTGGCGTTTCCATGCCGAGAGTGATGATGTCAAACGTCTGAGTGATTGCTACTAGATGTGCAGGCCCAGTCTCAGCACCAAAACCTGCTTACAGGCACTTGTCCACTAGGGGGTGCATGTTTTCAGTTTGGAGTATAGGTGGGCTGATGGGGACATAACTACTAGGTGTCTTGGCCAGTGTCCTTTGTAGTTCAGTCAGCCTCCAATACTTGATAACAGAGCTGCAGGAACAGTTAGAGAGGGTGTAAAACTCAGTTTTGTCCCAGTTTGTCCAGTGTTTGTGTGTGAGGCTGGACGGGGAGTGGAAGGGATCATTTCCCATCTGCCACGAAACAGCCCCTCACATAGGAAGTGGTTTACAGGGGGAGTGGGGACAGCATGTGTGACTATGTACCTGCAACAAAAAAATGTAACTACTAACAAATAGGTTATTTAACTGTCAAATCCTACTCTACATTTTTTTTTTTTTTTTTATTCTTTATTTTGCACTGATAGATATGTGGCCGTTCGAAGAAAAAGGGCTTACGCAGAAGCCAGGTCACAGTATAGATATAATTTGTTTTCAGAAAAAAATGACAGTTTGTTAGTGCAGTAACCTAACCCTGAATTTTAGCCCACTAAATGTCTCAATTGTCAAATATGAGCATGTGTGTATTATACAATAATTGTATGTGTGTATTATACAATAATAAATTAAACAGCCAGATTTGTAATAGAATAAATTAAAATAATAAAAAAAATTTACCTTTAAGGTCGAGTCAGGATTCAATTTTATTATTCCACAAATAACATTCTATCTGAATAATATGTTTGGCAGACAAAACTTTATAAGGCAAAATAAGAAAAGAATATTCTTAGTAGTATTCAGGAGAAAATAATAGAAATTAATTATTTTGTGAGGAATCTGGAGATAATTAGTCTGGAGACAATATCCAGGAGACAATATCCGTAAATCCAGTCTGGGTCAAATCCAAGGCATCCGATTAGTGGTCCATGTTGTCTTCTCTCAATTCTCATAACATTGCCTGAACAATGCAGCTGTGATAAATTATTATGGCTGTTTCTTGCCTCTCTCCCTGCTGCTGGTGGTGCTGTTCTCACACAGAGCACATCCCTCCTTCCCCTTACAGGCATTAATTTCCCTTAGCCTGAATTCACCTAGGAGAAACACCAAGGGGTGAACTGATTGGGAGGGGCTGTTTCTTTACCTCTGATTTAAGTTCTGCTACCAAAATGCACAGATATAATTGGATTCTCTATCATTTAAAGTTAAGTTGTATTTGTCATGACAGGTGCTATTTTAGGTGCCCAAGTGTGCCCTGTATTTTAATATTGGGTATGGTTTTTCCCATAAAATGGCTACTTTAAGCACCATAACCGCTGTAATTAGCAGTAGAGTGTTATGGTGCTTAGAACTTGGACATTTGCCATCTTGTGCCCAGATTTGGGTACTACATCCCATATGTAACAAGATCCCTACTCAGGGGCGGGCTGGGCCGGGGGGCAGGGAGGCAATTGCCCCCCCAGGTCGCCCCAAATCCTTTTAAAACCGTCCGCTGCAGGGCCGATCCTAATGCTGAAGCCGCCTGAGCGCTCTGTTAAGAGCCCAGGCGGCTGCAGCACGGCTTCTCCTCTTCCCTTCCCTGTAGCGTGGCCAAGCTCCTCTCCAGTCCGCGGTGCCCGGCCGGAGTGATAGGAAGATGCACACTGAGTTTGCACCTTCCTATAACCCTGACCGGGCACCGCGGACCGGAGAGGAGTTTGGCCACGCTACAGGGAAGGGGAGGTGAGCGGGGGGGGGAGCAAGAAGAGGGGGAGGGGGGCAGGGGAGAGCTCTTAGGGACAGCTCTATAGGACAGGGGGCAAGACAGGGAGCTCTTTCACACTACGCGCACACACAATGCATCCCTATACATACACAGAAACACACAATGCACCCCTACACACACAGAAACACAACATGCTTCCCTTACACACAGAGAAACAAACAATGCATCCATTACACACACACATTGCAACCCTTACACACAAAGACAATGCATTCTTTGCACACATACACAGAAACACACAATGCAAACCCTTACATACACATGCAAACACACACACTGCTTTTCTTACATACACACAGAAACACAATGCATCTCTTACACTCAATGCACACACATACAGACACACATCTTGCATCCCTTATGCATACAAACACAGTTTCACACAATGCATCCCTTACACACAACCAGAAACACACAATACATCCCTTATACTCAAATACACACTGCTTCCACTACACACAAACACACTGCATCACCTACACAAACTGGTATCCCTATACACTACATACCATAAGCACACATATTAGATCCTCTACAATAACACATAACACATCCCCTACACACTCCACTCCGGGTGAGAAAACTCATGGGTGGGTGGAACATATAAATGGACTTATGAGTGGGCCTTATGGGCATACTCACAGTAAGGCCCAGACCTTGAGCTGTGTAAGGGGCCCCCAAAAAATGGAGCTGCTTCCAATTCTCCAAGAACATTTAATTTTGTAACCACAGTTGCAAACAGCCTCCAGAGATCCTGTTCTACACCAGACCAGTGGAGCCAAACTGCAGCCCATCATGATCCTCATCTGCTTGTAAGTAGGCAATCTAGTATGATATTAGTGACACAAATCTATAATTTACCTCACATTAAAGGGACACTATAGCTTAATGAAGTGGTTCTGGTGTCTAAAGCCGGTCCATGCAGGCTTTTTAATGTAAACACACACTGTGTGCAGCACTGCGTTAGTTCATATGGCAGATCATATGGGTGGGGCATTGTGATGTCACATGGGGGGCGGCAAATTTTTCTTTTGTCTAGGGTGGCAAAAATCCTTGCACCGGCTCTGATCCTGGGCAGGTGACCCAGTCTACTGGTGACCCACAAGAGGGGAGTGCACTGATTGCACTGCACTCTCCTGCTGACCAGACCTGTTTTTACCGCAGTGCAAGTGCCCTCTGCCCCTAATTTACAGTGGCTCACACTCACAACAAGCAGTGCCTAGAGCCCTTTGCAGAGACGGGAACAAAGAGGTTCTGCAGCAGTTGGCCTTCCTGCAAGCATTACATTAACCAGCTGTTTCCCATGCAGCCACAGGTGGCGCTGTGCTGGGAGATTGTGATTACTCTTCATTTCCTCCCAGCCTACAGAGCAGCGCATGGGAGAGAGAGAGGAGGAGGCATGGTTTAATCTTACAACCAGGCGCGTACCTGGAGCATTTGGCACCCGGGGTGGATCCCTCCCAACTTAAAATGTAAAAAACAACCACAATTTTTTTAAATGTATTTAGCACTGAGCAGTGTTTGTATATTTTTTATTTAAGCATGTTTTTGTATGGAGTATGTGTGAGTGAATGTACGGGTGTGTTTGCACGTATTGGCATTTGAATGCAGGCGTGAATTTTTCTGTAGTGTGGTTTTTTTAATATGGTGGTGTGTTTATATCAGGGGCGTTTTAGCCGCGAGGCTAACAAGGCATTTGCCTTGGGCGGCGATTTTCAGGGGGCGGCAAAAAACGCCGCCCCCAAATGCCCAGGGCAAATGCCTTGTTAGCCTTGCGGCTAACAGACATGCCGAGCGGACGGGCGGCGCTGGGCGGGTGGCTGGCGAGGGAGCTCTTCCTCTGAGCTGTCCGCTCAGCTCATTCGCACGCCACCGAGTGAGGCTGGGAGCTGGAATATGACGTCATCAACCCGGCTCCCAGCCTCACTCTGCGGCGCACGAGGGAGCTGAGCGGACAGCTCAGAGGAAGAGCTCCCTCGCCAGCCGCCCGCCCGCCTAGCGCCGCCTGTAGCCACTGGACCACCAGGGAGATAGAGAACCCCCCCCAGCATTCCCAAAGGTAAGGAGGGGGGGGGGTAAATTAAAAAAAAAAGTGTTAATTTGAGTGTGTGTGTGTTTGTTAGTGTGTGTGTGTGTGTCTGACTGTGTGAGTGTGTCTGCTAGTGTGTATCTGCTAGTGAGTTAGTGTGTGTCTGACTGTGTGTGTATGTGTGTGTCTGACTGTGTGTGTCTGTCAGTGTGTGTGTGTGTCTGTTAGTGTGTGTGTGTGTGTGTGTCTGACAGTTTGTGTCTGTTAGTGTGTATGTGTGTGTGTGTCTGACAGTTTGTGTCTGTTAGTGTGTATGTGTGTGTCTGACTGTGTGTATGTGTGTGTGTCTGTTAGTGTGTGTGTCTGTTAGAGTGTGTGTGTCTGTTAGAGTGAGTGTGTGTCTGTTAGAGTGAGTGTGTGTGTGTCTGTTAGCGTGTGTATGCGTATCTGTCAGTGAATGTGTGTGTGTGTATTTAGAAGGCGGGGCGGGGGGGAAGGGTTGGGTGGGCCTGGCGCGGGGGGTGGAGGGGCGCCTGAGTTTTGTCCTGCCTAGGGCAGCACAAAACCAGGATACACCACTGGTTTATATGTAGTGTTGACATTTGGATGCAGGGTTGTATTTGTGTGTAGTTTAGGTGAAATGCTGAGATGTATGCACATACACACATAAACTCACATATGCACACAATGGCACACATACAGATACACAGACACATAGGTACACACATGCAGTTACATAGAAACACAGTCATACACAGACAAATACTGACACACATACAGATACAAACACACATACAGACACACAGGCACACATACAGACACATACATACAGATACACAGACACACCAAAACAAA